TAAACGTTTTGCCGTAAGCCGTCACCAATCGGCAACGCGGCATAACAATATTTTGAAAGCACATAAATTGAGGAATATTTTAAGACTAAAACCAATTCTATCTGTATTTTAACTGGTACTTTACTCTTGTACGTATGGGGTGTTCACGTTTGGGTCGGTCGAAAAGGATGAGCACAGAAATCTCATTGTACATATTTTGAAAGCACATAAATTGAGGAATATTTTAAGACTAAAACCAATTCGCTATCTGTATTTTAACTGGTACTTTACTCTTGTACGTATGGGGTGTTCACGTTCAAGTTGGTCAAAGGGGATAAGCACGAAAATTTCATTGTGCATATTTCGAGAACACATTAATCAAGAAACATTTTAAGACAAGAATTATATTGCTTTCTGTATTTTAACTGATACTTTACTCTTATATCAGTAGTATATAGATATTTTTTTTACGTATATCTTTTAAACTATTACAGATAAAGTAATTTTGTTTGAGGCATTTGAAAGCACATAAAAAGCACATAATTCTACTATATTGAGTATTTTATTTTATAATATAATTTTAATGAGTAGGGGTGCTAGCTTACGTTAAGCCAGCATCTCCACTTTCAATTGCAATTTCCCTAGAAACCGTTCAAGCACAAAAATCGTGAATAGAATAATTAGCACATAAAGAGCATTTAATTTCTACATATGTGCTATTCTGCTTTTTGCGGAGGGGAAGGGGTGCTAACTTAACAGACATAATATATTTTGATACATAGACTAAATCACTGAAGATGTTACTAATATTTCTGAAGTTGAATGAGAAATTCTTATTTTTCAGCAACTGTTTGGTAAAGATCCGGAAAGATTAATAATCTGTTTAAAAGAAAAGAATAAGAGTTTGGAAAAAAATAGTAAAAGAGTTATATTAAACTAAAGCATCTGTATCGCATTGCCTAAAGAAGAGTTAGAAGGCACCTTAATTTCCCTTATCCGAAGGCTGACTTCAAAAATCCCTTCCTAGGATTCCTTCCTAGGATCAATACTTTCTGAGGTAATTGGCAGAGATAATTTGCAGAAATAATTGGCACACGAAATAAATCTCATAATAAAACCTATATATGTATATGTATATGTATATATTTGTTCATATAAATAAAACTATTTTTTTATGGTAATTAGTGTAGTGCATTTTATTGAAAATAAATACAT